CCCCAAAACCCCAAAACCCCAAAACCCCAAAACCCCAATTAATTATAATTATATTGAAATTAACTTAATCTGATGAGACAAAAACTCAAATCAATATTTGACTCGAGTAAAATTAGATTAAACCTTCATCTTTCAAGTAGTTATAGGTGGGACCCCATGTTTTCTTTTCAAACATTGGGATATAATGCTTGTTTATAAATTCATTCCATTTATCAGTAAGATACCCCATCCAATCAGGATGTGCTGCTCTATATTCATCCTTTTCTTTCCTCGAGAGTCCATCTTTCCAGTCAGACTCGATGTGAATGTTGTTCCATCTGTCCCAAGTATCAAATTTAGAGTCATCAATATTGTCTCTGAGCTTTTTGCAACAAGTTTTGTACTCTTCTAGTAACTTTGTCTTTGATAATTCGATTTCATTTTTAATACTTTCATAATGAACTAAGGTCTTAGAATTAGTTTTCGCCTCCTCTGGGATAGTCTTAAACCCCTTATCAAGTAGGCAAAGTTGTAAAGCAACAGTGTTCATGAGGCTAGGATTCGGCGAAGAGTTGGTTAACTTCTTCATAAGTCCCTTTAAGCCTTCAAATGCTTTCTCATGGAAAACTCTGAAATCAGCAGGCTCACCGCTTTCGATATAAGCCTGAATATTTACCAACGATTCTTCAATGAAAGTTGTTCAACCATCGATATAATGCTCATCTAGCTTCTTGTTGATATCATCAAGCTTCTCATTAATTTCACTAAGCATGTCAGCAATGTTATCTCTGTTTCCTGATAAAAGTTTGAGCACTTTTGGACAAAATTTCTTAGGATCATCTGCTACATCAAATGCTTCTGAGAGAATGTTGCCTAAAATTCCTGCTAGTTCTTGAGCCTTTTCATGACCAACCTTCTGACCTTCTTTCTGATAAATAATATCATAACTAGTGGGTCCTATGGTTACTGTGGAATATCCTCCATGTCCCATGATTAATTTAGTGTTAATAGTTAATTGTTACTTCAATCTTAATTTTTTAAATAGGGGTTTTGGGGTTTTGGGGTTTTGGGGTTTTGGGGTTTTGGGG